CTTTGAAATATATTAGGAAAAAAGTTAAACTTTATCTAATTTTCGTTTCAAGAATGGAAAATATTGGAGAAATAAGCAGAGAACTTTTGCTTCAGAACAAGATTTACCCTTTCACCTGAAACAAATGAGAAAACATCCTGGCCCAGCTGGAGAGCATCTGCAGTGACCTGGAGAGCTCTGACAGTCAGATGACGTGCCAGAAATCACTTCTGATGAGTGTGACTCCCATCACTCCTGAACTGCAGTCTGTGCCTGGTCTCCCAGAGCCCAAGGTGTGCCAAGCCCAAGTTACCATATGAACCTCTATTACCCCAGCAGAGGGGAAGACTGACTTGAAGCAAAAAGGTGTGGAAGCCAGAGTTTGAAGTGGAATGAATGCTTCTGTTCCGAGAATTCCCCCTAATCAATGAAACCCCAGAGAGGGTGGTCCCCAGCACTCCCTCATCTACAAATTACGGAGTGATACGGTAAATTAGACCACAGGGAACCTGTTTGTAGAGCAGCCATTAGAAAACATGAAAACAGCAGAGGTAGCAGCAGCTGCAAAACACAGGAAAGGAAGTGTTGGCAGTTTGAATCCAGCCAAGTTAACTGCCTAACAGAACCCCCAACTCAGTAACCTTTCAGGAGAAAACAATGGAATTCACAGTCACTACAGTATACTAACGATAACGACTAATTTTCAATTAAAAATTGGCAGTCATGTAATGAAATTGGAAGAAAACTTTGAAGAAAAGGCAGTCAATTCAAAGGGACTCAGTGTACCCAGATGTTTGATTTAACAATGACTTTAAAGCATCTCATATATTTTGTTAAAATGGGAATTGCATCGATTGATATTTGTGTGTTAAATTTACTTTGGGTTCCTGAGATAATTCTCATCTGATAATGAAAACTACATATTTTTCCAAATTTTCATAAAAACTATATAGTTTTTTAAATTGGGTTTCATTTGAGATCCTACCACCATGGCAAATCACAAAAGCCACTGAGGTTAACATTCTTGCTGCAGTGATTTTTGGATTAAAAATATCAAAGAGTTTTGCACTAAAATATAAACTCCATGCATGTATAGGCTTTTGTGTGTTTTTCTGTATTTCTAACAACTTGTACAGTGTCTGACATGGTATGCTCAATAAATATTTACTGAATGAGCGAATGACTAAAAAATATGCTGAAATTACCAGTTGATGCCATGGAGTAAGAATGGCAGCTATTTTCCATCCGTAATGAGGTAATCAAAGGCCTGATTATGTTAACCTAGTTATTTACTTTTTTTTTTTAACCCATGTCTGTGTTAAGATTTCTCAATAGGCTCTGGCTGGTGTAGTTCAGTGAATTGAATGCCTGCTTGTGAACTGAAAGGTCACCAGTTCAATTCCCCATCAGAGCACATGCTTGGGTTGCAGGCTAGGTCCCCATCTGAGGGTGTGTGAGAAGCAACTGATTTGATGTGTCTCTTGCACATTGATATTTCTCTCCTTCTCTTCCTCCCTTCTGCTCTCTCTAAAAATAAATAAATAAAATCTTTTAAAAAAGATTTCTTAATAGAAGTTTAGTAGAAAGTAAACAGAATAAATTTAATATTGTCACAAATTTTAAAATGTAAGCTATAGAAGGCATATGATTTGTAGATTAAAATCATTTCTGGGGCAAAAATTTAGCTAAAATATATAATGGGTTAATATTACATTAATTTTTGAACAGTATTTGAATACATAGTCTTTCAATTATCTGACTCTATAACTTTAATACTCTACTGGTTTATTGATTAAGCAGACATGCCAGTTTGTACACTCAAAGGAAAACAAAATGACCAGAGTTATGTATTAGTAAGTAAACCCCACCCTGGCTGGTGTGGCTCAGTGGATTGAGTGCTGGCCTTCCAACCAAAGGGTGGTGAGCTGGATTCCCAGTCAGGGCACATGCCTGGGTTGCAGGCCAGATTCCCAGAAGGGGGCACGCGAGGAGCAACCACACACTGATGTTTCTCCTTCCCTTCCCCCTCTGTAAAAAATAATCTTTAAATAAAATAAAATATAAAATAATATAAAATAAAATAAAAATAAGTTAACCTTTAGGAAAGGTATCGGAGTTTCCTTAAGCAAAGAATGTATTTGTCTCAGAAATTTTTAGTGTACAGCATGTTATTAGACTTTTGGACACAAGAGGGTGCTGGTGACCAAAATTTAGAAATTCACACTATTTTTCTAACACCAAAGTGTCAAACAATCCAAGTGTGAGTGCCCTACTTGCATGAATCCTCAGATCCCCAAAATTACTGGTTTGCAATGCTAATAGCAACAAAGCAGATCACTTAGAATGAATCAAAATGCTGAAAGAAAGGAAGTGTTACATAAAAGATCTGAAATGCAACACATTTGGTGCATCAGTGTAGAGGTGAGTAAAAGAGGCTAACAATTGGGTACTACCTGGCCTGATAGTTTGTTCCTATTCTATGAAGTCCAGTTGACTACAGCATGCACTTCAATGAAGAACGTAAAGAAAAATTGTTATGATTTCACATTTTTATTTTTTAAGAATTTACATTTTATTTTTCAATTTCAGTTTACTTTTAAAATTATTTTCTATTAATTTCAGGTGTACAGCATAGTGGTTAGACAATCATATACTGTGCAAAGTGTTTCCCCCAATATTTCTAGTACCCACCTGGCACCATACATAGTTATCACAATATTATTGACTATATTTCCTATGCTATTCTTTACATTCCCATAACTATTCTGTAACTATCAAATTGTATTTGTTAATCTCTTTGTGTCTTTCACCCAGTTCCACAACTTCCCTGTTTTCCATTTTGTTTGCTCATTGAGAAAGTAAAAGTTTAAAGAAGTCAAATATTTATAAATGAGAATAACGCAGCTTCGTTATTTTAACTATATGATATGAATCATGAAAAGATCAGATTTTTAAATAAACAGTTGTGCTAGAAATTTATTAATGAAAAATTAAATTTAATATGTTTTCTCTTTGGATAAAGTGTATATCTAAGATTACCATAAAGTATTCTACTTTTCAAATGACATTCTAAAAAAAACACCCAATCTGGGGGGGTAAGATTCATTGAAGCTAGTAAGACAAAGTTTAGGGAACATTTAAAAAGCAAACCTCTTCATTATTCCTACCTATTGTTCTAATAGAAACATGACATTTAAAAAGAAAATTGAGAAGTGAAAAAATTTTAAGTAACAGTAAAACATAAAATGAAATTAGTAATGTGACTAATGCATATTGTTAAAATGGAGTTTAAGTTACATTTTTGCTTCTCTCCAACCAACGATGTTTTTTCAAGTTCTCATACAGAATAAAATAACACAAAAATAAAGAATGCAGGAGAACATATTCTGTCACATCACCTACCATTCATTTACATCCCCAGAAAATACCAACTCAGCTGGAAAAAAAACAAAGTAACCCGACCAGCTCCAAAAGTCCATCTGAAGCCTGGGTAATGGTCTTCACAGTACTATATGATTAGGTCTAATTTCTTGACTGTGAGGAATAGTGAAGTTTGTGAATAACTTTTAAAAATCTTTTCATTTCCTGGACAACGTGAAGAGATGAAAAAAAAAAAAGCACCTTTCCAGATTCGTCAATACCTGGTCTTACTATTGATTTTCACCTGATGATGGTATGTATCTATGTGAGGAACACTGTGCCTGCAGTAAGAAGACGGAGACGGGGGATGCTTTAAGACCTTGGGCATATATCTTTTAACTTCACGGAGTCTCAGTTACCTCACCATAAAAGGGGAGTGATACTAGCAACAGGATCTTGGAGAATCTCTGATAAAATGGGAAAACACTTGTGAAAACACATAAAATATTGTCTCAGTAAAAGAGATCACTAGGCAATTGTGCCCATTTCACTGAGAGTTACAGTTTCCAGTCCTAATTGTATGAGAATGGGCAAGGGGTGGAGAATGGTTGGAGGATTTGCAAGAGCACTCGCTTCCCTGCGGCTCCCGCCCCCGCCCCTCCGCCCATTTCCCACATCTGGCAGCGGTTTACTTCACCATCTCATGCATGGAAGTGGCTGCCACCTGCCTCTAGCCACTTCTGCTCACTTTAATTTAGCTGACTTGTTTTTAAGAGGGAGGGAAGGGGGACTTTCGGTGGGAGGTGGTAGTTGGGACATCTTCATTTTCTAATTCGACCAGCAGATTTTGTTTCCCTGTACCTGTTTGCTTGAGTCTGGAGTTACTATCAGTTTTCTAAGTTTCAGTGCGCTCCAGGGAACAGGGCAGCCGGGCCCGCTCCTGATCACCACTGAATCCCGAAGTGGAAAGGGAAAAAGTTCCGGATCAGCCAGCAAAGGAGTGTGGTTTGCCTAGATTACTTGGGGACAGGTGAGTTACGCTCGCCAGGGTTACCAAAGATCTGCAGGGGCAGGATCCCGTCCCTGTGGGTGGAAAAGGAGCAGAGCAGGCGTCCTCGGTGGGTCTCGGCAACTCGCCCGGGGCTGGGAAGCCCAGCGAACATTTCGGTCCCGCCGCCCACGGACACTCCGCTGGCGGAGACCCGGGGAAACGCGGAGCGGGGAAGGGCGTCCGGTCGGCCCGAACCGGGCTTTTCCGGAGGGTCCCTCCGGGAGGTTCTCCCCGGCTCTCGCGTCCGGGGCCGGGTCGCCGCACCGCCGCCGAGACGCGCGGCGCAGCCTCTCCCCGCCCCTCCCGCCGCACCGGCGGGCGCACCCCACGGGCGCCCCGCCCCTCGGCCTATAGAAGGGGCGCAGCCGCCGCGGCGGGAGGGAGCTCCGCGCTGCCCACGGCCGACGGCGCGGCTCCTGCTGGGCGCGAGAGCCCGGCGCCGCGGCGGCCGACGCAGCCGAGTCCCCGGCGGCTGCGCCCGCACCATGGGAGGCAGCCCCGCCCCGGCACCAGCCCGGGTCGCGCCCGACCTTCGCCGCCTCCCGCGCGCCGTCTACCTGCTCCCGCTGCCGCTCCCCGGGCGCCGTCCCGTCCTCACCTCGAAGCCGACATGAAGGAGGCCCGGGGCGACGGGAGCGCCCCTTTCTGCGCCCGTCTCAACTACTCCTACCCGGGCCTGTGGGAGCCCGAGCGCTCCGCGGAGGCGCGGGGCAACCTCACGCGTGCCCGGGACACCGGAGAGGATTGCCGCTCGGTGTCCGTGGTCTTCCCGATCACCATGCTGATCACCGGCTTCGTGGGCAACGCGCTGGCCATGCTGCTGGTGTCGCGGAGCTACCGGCGCCGGGAGAGCAAGCGCAAGAAGTCGTTCCTGCTGTGCATCGGCTGGCTGGCGCTCACCGACATGGTCGGGCAGCTGCTCACCAGCCCCGTGGTCATCGTCGTGTACCTGTCCAAGCAGCGCTGGGAGCACCTCGACCCGTCGGGAAGGCTGTGCACTTTCTTCGGCCTGACCATGACAGTCTTCGGGCTCTCCTCGCTCTTCGTCGCCAGCGCCATGGCCGTCGAGCGGGCGCTGGCCATCCGGGCCCCGCACTGGTACGCGAGCCACATGAAGACGCGCGTCACCCGCTGTGTGCTGCTCGGCGTGTGGCTGGCGGTGCTCGCCTTCGCCCTGTTGCCGGTGCTGGGCGTGGGCCAGTACACCATCCAGTGGCCCGGGACGTGGTGCTTCATTAGCACCGGAGGAGGTGGCAACGGGACTAGCTCCCCCCCGAACTGGGGCAACCTTTTCTTTGCCTCTACCTTTGCCTTCCTAGGGCTCTTGGCGCTGACCGTCACCATTGCCTGCAACCTGGCCACCATTAAGGCCCTGGTGTCCCGCTGTCGGGCCAAGGCCACGGCTTCTCAGTCCAGCACCCAGTGGGGCCGGATCACGACTGAGACGGCCATCCAGCTCATGGGGATCATGTGCGTGCTGTCGGTCTGCTGGTCGCCACTGCTGGTAGGTAGTTCCTGGTGTGCAGAGGGCTGGGTGGGGCGCCTGAGGACGATAGAGACTTCTCAAAGTGACATCTCCTGCACAGATGTGTTTGCAGTCACACGGCTTGGGGAAGACTTTCTGTCTGAACAATCTTGGTTGAAGCTTCTGAGTTGAGTTCCTCACTTAACTTGCTGAGCAACTTCAAATGCCATCCATTGCCTTAGGTTCTGGTTACACACATATGGAGACCACAGGGGCACTCACACTGTAATCGGAGGGAGTTAAGAGAATACCCAGGTATGAGTTCAGTGCCGGTACAGAGATGGAGGTTTCTCCTGGGCATATTGGCAATGACAACAGTAACCTGTGGCTGCGGGTTTCCCCCTTATTTCAAACACCCCTCCCAATGCTGAGGTGACTTTCTGCAAAAATCCTTTACCTGTGACCACAGGCAGACACAGCCCTCTTGCAGGTTCTGAGCCTCTGTGCACTTTTCAGCACAGCCCACAATTACCTTCCTTGAAAGCTCACTCTAGACCAGAGGCAGGAGAGTAAAGGTGCATCTGTGGTTGGAGCCAACCTCAGCCATTGAGAATGATGTTGGACCCCCTAGGAAATGCTTGAACTGACAGTCATTGGACCCTCGAAGTTTTGTAACTCCTGATGGCCAGCCTTTATTCACCCTTGTGGAACCTATTCAGGACTGGGGGCCCGGCCAATCCTGGCATAGGAGGTAGGGATTTCGTCACTTCCCAGCTCCTCAAAGGGTGCACAGTCTAGGAGCAAGTGATGTTTCCACAAGCGCTTTGTAAAACAGCCTCTCTTACATCTCACTTCCCTCTGTCACTTTTAGTTGGAGATTTCTGTGGGTAAGTACTGTTTACTGATGCCTGATGGATGGAGACTGATTTAGGCAGACTGGCTTGATAGGAGTTATGTTGCAAAAATAGCGACTTGACAGATATGACACATTATATATTGGACCTGGAAGTTTATTAGACAGTTGTGAAAAACTTCTGAAACCCATGGACACACGTTTTCAGAACCACACACATTTAGTTTTTCCTTTTAAATTGTGGTAAAATACACGTAGCATACAATTTACTACTTTACCTATTTTAAGTGTACAGTTCAGTGATATTAAATACACTGACGTTGTGCACCACTTACAGTTTTAACTCTCTTGTATTAAAAATAGAACCATAGTCCCACCCCCCCACCCAGCCTCCCCATTCATTGGACAAAGCAGATATTTCAGAAGGCCTGCGTTTCACTGGTGCAGTATATTTGGAGCACAAGTCTTGGCTCCAAATCGTTGACGACGTGTGATGACAAGGAGAGTTCAAGACCTCCAGGGCCCACTGGCTTACTCTCAGTGCAAGCACTTCCTAGGGGGTCCAGCATCATTCCAAGTGCCTGAGGCTGGCTCCAACCACAAGCCGCTATTTGGTCACAGTTCTGCGTTCCAGGAGCTAGAACTCAGGCTGATGTCATCACCGTGGTGTATCAAAACCAGCACCAATTTTAGATATACTTACTTCTATGGTCGAAGAACGGAGTGTGTAGGTGGTCAAACTGGGGAAAAAGAGTTGTTATATAATGAACACTTTAATAAACTATGAAAATTAACATAACTTTAAAGGCAATGAAGAAAAATCTGAATTTTTCAGGACTGTCATTTGAGTCCCACGTCTCCGAGTTGGCTCTATCATATTCTTTTTTATCCTGGAAAAAATGCAGTTAACTCATATGAATAAAATGCTTACCCATACAGTTAACTGAATGTATAGATTTTTTTAAAACTAGAAGACATACTATGCACAGTATTGTGTCTTTTACTTTAAAACTTTAATACCATGAGCTTAGTGGCCTTGGAAGAATTTAGATCAGTTCTGTGAATCGTAACCTAGGATGGCCAAACTTACTCTCTTAAGACAGACTATTTGGAAATAGCCTTATTTAATTTCAATTATTACCTACATTCAAACAGATCTACTGGTTTGCAGCCTGTTTTTAGAGATCCTATTAATTCAGATCTCATGAAAACATTAAACTTAAAACATGCTTGATTATATCAAAGAGGAGAAATTAAAGATTTGCAAAATGGGTACTTTTTAAACTGAAGCAAATAATTCTATCTTCTGTTTTGTGCGCCGTTGAAATTAAATCTCTAAATATCTTCAGAAAGCTCTCCACTAAAAAGCAGGAATTATTTCAAAGGAAAGAAAGAAACTGGCCAAACCACTTTCTTAATAGGTGAGGGAATTATAAGAATGAAAACACTAGAACTTAGTGAATTGAATTTGTAGTGTATTAATGTTAAAGTGAGAGATTGTTTTCTACATCTTTTTCTTAACTATGGGTGAAATACAGATTCCCTATTGGCTTTTGTTGAGTTGGGAATCATCCAAACTCCCCCCTTAAAAGAACCCCGAGTATATTTTATCCTGGAAGTCTGTCATGATTATAACAATATTCAGTTGTTACTGCCAGAAGACTTAGCAGAGAAGAGAATAAGAAAATATTGCAACTGCTACAAGTTCCCACCACATAAATATTTAAATAGAGGTTCTCTATGTTGCCAATGAAAGGTTTTTTACCTCTTATTTTTTTCAGACACCTTACAAAATACAAGATGTGAAACCGAGTGAGAGTACAGTGGAAAATAGTGTCACCGTGTCTATGATTCTTAGTCCTATTTCTGTTCATTTGTCATTCTTTGGAATTAGTCCGTTGACTCAGCAATGCAATCTGTTTGACTTTTTATTGTTGTTATTAGTATAATTATTTTTATGCACCACAGTCACCAAATAGTTCTGTTATTTGACATGATAGCCAAGATTCCAGAAGCAGCAATAACCTTGGGTGAGTGCTGAGAAAAAGCTATGAGTACATTTTGTGCTTTTATAAACCAGACATTCCTCATACAGGTAGAATATGGCTAACACTGGAGCTATCTTAAAAATAGTAAATATAAAGTAACTATCGACCATGTAAAAAGTGAGGTATGAGGAACACAGCCACTCATTTATAACAGGAACTGGACAAAAGCAGTCTTAGAAACGTTTGACTTTGATCTTGAACCAGCACATTCCCTGCTCAGTGTCTGCAGATGTAGACATGGACGCTTGGACTCAAGAACATATTTCACAATGTAGATGTAACTTTTTTTAAAATTTAAGGCATCACTGATATATTTTGACAAATAAAATGTGCCTGAAATATACTACATGTGATAGACTTGCTTTACAGAAATAATGCTGTTTTATACTATAAAAAAGTTTTGTTCAATTACAAATTTTCCGTACCTATAAATTTCTGCCATATTAAGCTTATAGTTTCAGGGGAAATGACTAAACATGTGCATTGGCATTATAGGAAACATCTATAATTTGCTTTTATAAGAATTGAAATTATTTTCGATTCTTTACATTTTTTGAGTTTACTATCATACATTTTAGGTACTATGCAAGGGGTATTAAGTAGACTTACGAAAAACGGTCAAAGTTGTAATCTGTTCAGAAAAGCAGAATTCCCACATTTACGAGTGAAACAATTAGAGAAGAGTACAAGTTAGGATGTAATGAATGAATGCCTTTGACTCTGGGAAGAAAGTCCACCTGAGTTTGCCAGAGGAGGCTTCCTGGAAGAGCGGGATGGCACAGCTTGAACCCGGAGCTGAGAGCCAGTGGGCCCGGGAGCCCAGCGGGAGAGAGCAGAGCACGCGCTGGAGCTGTGGGAACGGCGGTGTGGGAAGCTCGGGGCCACGTGAGGTGGTTAAGGGGAACAGAGGATGAGGATGGGGTGTTTGGGTTTTGTTTTACCAGTAGGCCATACAGCCTCCATTTTTATTTTATTTTTTTAATAGGGGAGAGAATTTTGAAAAGACCGGCGGTGCAGTAGAGTGTGAATAGGTGTGGGCAGGGCGAGGGAAAGTGACATTCGTTATGGCTCGCTTCTTCAGGCCGTTAGGACTTTAGGTTAGAGACAGTGGGAAGAGATGAGTCAGAGGAGGAAAGGTGAGAGAGAACTAATGCTATCAGAAATGGTCGATTTTAGGAGTGATTGATTCGACAAACATTTCTTACCTAGCTACTACCTCCTATTCACTGTGAAAATTTACCTCATTGGACTGCGTCCTGTAGGAATGGCAGTACTTTCTGTATCATTCCAATAAAGAACTGATGCAAAGAATATTAGAATTAGAATAATTAAGGATATCTGACTCTGAGTTTATTCTCAATTTTGTTGTGTATTTGCTTGCTTAGCTTACATAGAGGTGATGAATTATAGTCTTATATGTCTTTCTGTCATATATGCAAATTATATATCTTTGTATCTATAAAGTACAGGGGTAGGACTAACAGATATTTAAGGTCTTTATTTATGTTATTCTCAGGTGTTCTTATTTGGGAGAATCATGGTTCAGTAAACCAGAATGAGAAACTTTGGAAAAAGATTGGTAGATTGTGTTTTGTAAGAATGGGAACCCTGAGTGACTAGGGCTTTTGGACACAGTATATTAAGGTGGTGGATTATCTAAATGATATATCGAGGAAGCCCAAGTAACTTGAAGATTGAGATAAATCAAATCTAAAAAACACAGATTTTTTTAAATTTGGAGTTTATCAGAGAGAGCCAAGAATTAAACAGTTCTTAAGCCATCAGATTTGAAGAAATTCAGATGGCCTAGAGTTGTAGCACAATTGTGAGTCATTGGCTTTTCTCTTTTGAAAAAGCTGCGAAGGTCAACAACTCAATTATGAAAGTTTCCACAGGTTTGGGTTTCTGGGAATAGCACTCAGGAATACACACTGCAAACATTTGTAACAGACGATGATGATTCTTCTGGGGGTGCTGAGGCGTAGGTATCCTCTTTCAGTTTTCAGATAGGCCTTGCATTACAGGGAAGCAGTGGGAGGGAAGTGCCCCCCAACACTTCTTACATTTCTGTCATATTTTTATAATCCACCAGTGTTCCATGTTTATCTCATTCATGCCTTGTGCTTCTTGAGGATTAT